AATGCAATGCCATATCGTACCTCAAGCCACCTACAAAATGGCAAGTTTATTTTTTTTTATCAATCGACGATGAGAAGGTGAAGATCTTCAAGGGTCCAAAAAGTTGTACAGAAATAACAAAATAAAAAAGAGACCCGGACCAGAGGGACAAGTTTGAGTTTTGGGCCTGTTTTGGTCCTGGGTCGAGTATTTGGGTTAGGGTACCATGAGGGTCCAAAATTCGAACTTGTCCCTCGGGTCCAAGTCAGGTTGAGTTGTCAAATGTCATGGATCAGGTCTATGTAACTACAGCTGATATATCCAAGTGGACCCCTCCGAACCTGACCACGGCTCTGCATAGCTTATGGCAAATTAGCTGAAAAACGTTTATTTTGTCACTCAGGTCCGAACGGGTCGGGTGTCTTTTTTGAAAATCATTCGGTTCAGGTAGAATATCTACAGCTCCAGTTCGGGTCAGGTACAACTTTTTGGACCGGTGAAGAATTAGATTAGGCTATAGACCTAGTAGTAGCCTAGCCTACCTTAACCATGGCCTACTGTTGTTGATGAAGTAAGAAGATGAATCATTCTTACAAAACCACATGTATTACTGTTTTACTACAGTACTTCTAGTGATCATCATCATCATTATCAGCACACAACTTATACTAACTGACTAGATATCTCCCTTTCCCTTTCCCTACTAGGCCTACTCCTACTACACATACTTTATAAAGATGTCCGTTTTTTGCATAGGCTAACCTTTGATGAAAATGCTTTTCCAACTATCTTGAAGGAGTTCCCACATATGCTGTGCACTTGTTGACTGCTTTTCCTTCGCTCTGTGGTCCAACTCTTCCCAAACCATCTCAATTGGGTTGAGGTCGGGTGATTGTGGAGGCCAGGTCATCTGATGCAGCACTCCATCACTCTCCTTGGCCAAATAGGCCTTACACAGCCTGGAGGTGTGTTTTGGGTCATTGTCCTGTTGAAAAACAAATGGTAGTCCCACTAAGCGCAAACCAGATGTGACAGCGTGTCGCTGCAGAATGCTGTGGTAGCCATGCTGGTTAAGTGTGCCTTGAATTCTAAATAAATCACTGACAGTGTCACCAGCAAAGCACCCCCACACCATCACACCTCCTCCTCCATGCATCACGGTGGGAACCACACATGCGGAGATCATCCGTTCACCTACTCTGTGTCTCACAAAGACACAGCGGTTGGAACCAAAAATCTCAAATTTCAGACCAAAGGACAGATTTCCACCTGTCTAATGTCCATTGCTTGTGTTTCTTGTCAAGTTTCAAGCAAGTCTCTTCTTATTATTGGTGTCCTTTAGTAGTGGTTTCTTTGCAGCAATTAGACCATGAAGGCCTGATTCATGCAGTCTCCTCTGAACAGTTGATGTTGAGATGTGTCTGTTACTTGAACTCTGTGAAGCACTTATTTGGGCTGCAATCTGTGGTGCATTTAACTCTAATGAACTTATCCTCTGCAGCAGAGGTAACTCTGGGTCTTCCTTTCCTGTGGTGGTCCTCATGAGAGCCAGCTTCATCATAGCGCTTGATGGTTTTTGCAACTGCACTTGAAGAAACGTTCAAACTTCTTGAAATTTTACGGATTGACTGACCTTAATTTCTTAAAGTAATGATGGACTGTCGTTTCTCTTTGCTTATTTGAGAAGATCTTGCCATAATATGGACTTGGTCTTTTACCAAATAGGGCTATATTCTGTATACCACCCCCTACCTTGTCACAACACAACTGATTAGCTGAAACGCATTAAGAAGGAAATAAATTCCACAAATTAACTTTTAACAAGGCACACCTGTTAATTGAAATGCATTCCAGGTGACTACCTCATGAAGCTGGAGAGAATGCCAAGAGTGTGCAAAGCTGTCATCAAGGCAAAGGGTGGCTACTTTGAAGAATCTCAAATATAAAATATATTTTGATTTGTTTAATACTTTTTTGGTTACTACATGATTCCATTTGTGTTATTTCATAGTTTTGATGTCTTCACTATTATTCTACAATGTAGAAAATAGTAAAAATAAAGAAAAACCCTTGAATAAGTAGGTGTGTCCAAACTTTTGACTGGTACTGTATACAGTGCATTCGGAAAGTACTCAGACCCCTTGACTTTTTCCACATTTTGTTACATTACAGCTTTATTCTAAAATTGATTAAATTAAATTGCCAAGCATCACGTCTGGAGGAAACCTGGCACCATCCCTACGGTGAAGCATGGTTGTGGAAGCATCATGATGTGGGGATGTTTTTCAGCGGCAGGGACTGGTAGACTAGTCAGGATCGAGGGAAAGATGCTCCAGAGCGCTCAGGACCTCATACTGGGGCGAAGGTTCACCTTCCAACAGGACAACAACCCTAAGCACACAGCCAAGACAACACAGGAGTGGCTTCGGGACAAGTCTCTGAATGTCCTTGAGTGGCCCAGCCAGAGGCCGGACTTGAACCCGATCGAACATCTCTGGAGAGACTGGAAAATAGCTGTGCAGCGACACTCCCCATCCAACCTGACAGAGCTTGAGAGGATCTGCCGAGAAGCATGGGAGAAACTCCCCAAATGCAGGTGTGCCAAGCTTGTGGCGTCATACCCATGAAGACTCAAGGCTGTAATCATTGCCAAAGGTGCTTCAACAAAGTACTGAGTAAAGGGTCTGAATACTTATGTTTTTTATTTGTAATACATTTTTCTAACATTTCCAAAATCCTGTTTTTGCTTTGTCATTATGGGTATTGTGTGTAGATTGATGAGGGGGTGGGGGAAACGATTTAATCCATTTTAGAATTAGGCTGTAACGTAACAAAATGTGGAAAAAGTCAAGGGGTCTGAATACATTCAGATTTAACTTTTTATATAAGAAAACTCTGTCAAAGTGTTAATATGCCTTCTGCTAGAATACTGTATACTGGAATGCAGCCCTGGGACAAGTGAACTGGAAAAAAGTATTGTTGTTGTCTAGCAAATATTGCATATCTAAAAGATGAAAGAAGTATCATATAAACTCATTCACAGAGTGTACTCTGTAAATACCTTTATTGTACACACTCAAAATTGCTATAAATGACAAATGTGTGTTTTGTGGTTGTGACCCAGAAACTCTTGACAATTTATTTTGGGACTGCTCTCATGTCAGAAGATTTTGGATTGAGTTAGAATACTTTATTTTAAGGGAAACTACTGTCAATGTTGATTGGCGCAGCGGTCTAAGGCACTGCATCTCAGTGCTTGAGGCGTCACTACAGACCCCCTGGTTCGATTCCAGGCTGTATCACAACCAGCCGTGATTAGGAGTCCCATACGGCGGCGCACAATTGGCCCAGCGTCGTCCGGGTTTGGCCGGTGTAGGCCGTCATTGTAAATAAGAATTTGTTCTTAACTGACTTGCCTAGTTAAATAAAGGTTCAATAAAAAATTGGAAGACTGAGATTAGGTTTTATTTTGACCTAACTGATATGGACCCCGATTTCATTTTCATTGTTAATTTGATTATTTTTCTTGGAAGATTCTTTATTCATAAGATGAAGTGTGCAGAAAACAAACCCCTTTTTAAATTGTAATTGTTTAAGAAAGAACTGAAGAGTAAATGTAAAAACTAAAAAGCAGTATATACCATAAAACTTTTGGACAATTGTAAATGTTCTTTTGACATGTGATACCCCGTCTGCGTTAAGTTGATGTACTCTTGTCCATATATTTCTGTGTTGTATTTTGTGTTATTGTTTAATAAAAATAAACATTACAACAACAAAAAAGACCCCCCCCCCAAAAAAAAAAAAAAAAAAAGATATGCGAGCACAAACATTCACTTCCTGTGGGCACAAGAGGCGGCAGGTAGCCTAGCGGTTAAGAACATTGGGCCAGCAACTGAAAAGTCACTGGTTTGAATCCCTAAGCCAACCAGGTGATAAGAGTGTCTGCTAAATGACGAAAAGCGAACCTATGTATGCGGATGCCTTTAGAACGTTTGAGCACTACCAATTTGACTGTCCAGACCAGGGATGTGCAACTTTGATGGGGGGCCACAAAAAATATGAACTAATAATGAGAGGCCGCAGTGGCTCGCGGGTCTGTGTTTTCATAACCACACTGATTTTTGTAATCTATTTGTGGTATACTTAACTCTCTTAACTAAATGCATTATACCAGTAGCCTAGCGTTTTGGGGGCCCTAAGCGAGATTTGGTTGGGGGGGCCCCACACCTCGTGGGCAAAACATTTGACTGACCACAGTATTGAGGACAGAGAGAAAAATGTACGTTTGAGTGTATTTCCTGCAATTCTACACATTTTGCCATGGGGCACATTGTGTATTCTACTATTATAACTCTCAACAGTAAGTTGAGACCCTGACTGAGTTCCAAAAAAATATAATAAATAAATAAATTGGCAGGGGTGTTTTTGGAAATTGATCTGTGGGCCGCCAGTTCAGTTGGGCCAGACCACTTGAGGTATAATCAAAGACAGTACAGTAGGAAGAAACTGCTTCTCCAACAGAAATCCCCGATCACGCTTGTAGGCGATGTCAATGGCGATTTTGGAGTGGTCTCGCGCATGTGCAGGCCGTCCGAAATAAAGGCACTCCTTCGATATAAAGTCGTTTTTGACGAATGTGTCAGTTTGTCACTTTCACAAGGTTGGAGTAATAACATGTTCAAATACTTACGATATTTGCTCGAATCTAGCCTTTAGATTTCGAGAATATGAACAACTAAGGAAGAATGTTTCACTTCTCTCAATGACTTATCATATCCCTAACCCCGGCCTGGTCTGTCACGCAAGCGTTCCCGGAAGTCTCGCGATGTTGTGTCTCTGGGTTTAGAAACTTTGTGATTATGCCATGGTCTTTGGTCCAGACCATAGATTGGTCCAGACTTCGGTGAGGGCGGAGTTAAACTCTGACCCTATACATAATTTAGCCGGGAATCCAAATACCACGTGTCCTCCGCCCGTCTTGTTCCATCAGTGCACGATTCACATAAAAACATTTTTCCCGCACAGAGTGAGAGTTGTTGCTAAGATGGCGGCGCGGTGGGGAGCAGGCGAGGAGCTGTTAACTGCCTGCAACATGGAATTTTTTTCTACAAATACACTAGACGAGGTAAATTACATTGATTTGATACTGTTATGTGTTTTATGTTTGGTATCATGCATGTATTTTTGCTGTATGTGTATGTCTCGTGTGCTGGGAATGATGCGCTGAAAAAGTGACACGTGGATACAATCACTGCTGCACAGAAGAATCATGGCATGATTATTAGCAACTGGTTGGCTACGATTATAACTAAAATGTATTGATACGTAGACTGTTTTCATGGGTATTTTGTTAACTGCTGCACTAGCTAGTGTACACACCATCTGAAGTAGCCGGCTAGTTAAGTAACGCATTGCTAGCCCGGATGTGTGGTTAGCTGTAGACAACGTGTGTTAATATTTGCTTTAAATGTTTTGAATTGTTATTCTTTTGGATTTCATTGTAAACTACTTCGGTCAAACCAAAGTGAATGATTATATGGTGTAGTAATCCTATGGCCATTCTTGAATGTGCGAATTTTGCAAACGTAAAACCTCATGGATGACTAATGGGGAGTTGTCCAGTTTGTTTGGCCAAGATGAGGCCATTGACAGCTAGCTGGATATTCGTATAAAATCGTGACAAGTTTATGTCTGGCAATTATAACATCATATAACCAATTGTGTTGATTTAATAAACGTTTCAAACCCACCTATATGCGTCATGTAAAGGGATGTTATTTTGGGCCTATTTAAATTCGGTCTCAAGATGATTCATTCCCACGTGGTTGTAAATGCATGACGTAAACCTTTCAATGAAACTGCATAATCGTGATTGCAAGTATATAGCTAGTAAGAATGTAATGTATAAAACTGACACTACCGGTAACGTTATTTCACAGTTAAATAGCTGCAGGTAGCTTGTAAAAAGATCAATGAGTGAACACCTGGCTATACGTGCAGCGTTGTTTCAGACAGTGTAATGGGACAACTTTGGGCGATTGGCAACACTTCTCTTTTTACCCGAGTTTGTATATGATGAGATTGTACGATTATTTCCAATACATGCTCATTAATATGAGCAACACGTGGTGGTGGTGAATTAATCCCATGTTAACTGATTCAAACCGACAGCAGTAGCTACATTTCCTCGGTCAACCAATAGACCGCATACCAGTCTTTGTGTATATTTCAGACAACGAAATTGTATTTGAGGTAATATTAGCACAGATGTGTATACAAGACTGCCTGTCTGGTTTCCACAAGGGTAGCTACAGCCTTTCCTACAGCGGAGCCGCGTTTGTTGTAGTGCAACACGTGGTAATTAGGAAGGAGATCCCTTTGGGCGAGGTGCGTGGTAGCAACATGTCCTACTGCGCAGGGTCCGGTTCAATTGGGCATGGACTGAACGACACGTGGGTTACAGAGATGATGGTAGTTTGGTGACTTTCTTTTTCTCTCCCTAAATCCTAAATACTCAAACTATATAGATTAGGAATGAGTTATGTGCTGTCTAATGATTTTATATAAGTTGTACATGCATTATTATTTTTTCTGCCCACATGGAATGGCAAGTGCCCAGGCCTGTTCCAGGCATCCATTACATGATTGTGGGTCTTGTATAAGTGGACTGTAGTGAACACAACTGTTTAGGTCCTTCCATAAGAATACTTTTTAATCACGATAATCGATCTTGTTTGCTGCTGAAGACACTTCACACTGCACTCCCAACATTAACATCATACTGTGCACTACGAGAAACGTGTGTTTTGTTTTCATTGGGACAGCTTCTGTGCTTGGCCTGAGGGCCTAGATACTAGGTTGCCATTATTTCTACAGTGCTATGATGGTCTGGACCAATGTTATAAACATTAACTTTCTCCTCATTGGGGCTGTGCTGCTGCAGCCTCTGTTAAAATCAGACAGATTATCATTTTATAATAAACAAATGTATTTATAGGATTCGATTCACCAATATGTATTAGTGTCATGATACTAGGGCTGACCCCATTTAGTCGACTGTTTGGTCCATAGGCTGTTGGTCAACCAAGTTATTTTTTTCCCCCTTTTTTTGAGCAGTTGCAAATATTTTTCCTATGTCATACACCTGTCTGATTCGCCCTGTCTCAGTGGACTAATCTGTTGTGGAGGCCGCAGGGATGGCACACGGTCCAAGAAGAGTGTGGCTAAGATGCAGAAGGCACATCTCTCTAGAATGTTCTCTCTCCTGCCACTTCGTGCGCATTCATTGTTTCATAGCTTAATTGTGTGAATTGTTTGCCCTTTGATTGTTAGTGTCTATCAATTCCCCATTAGATGTATTAGTAGTACATTATGACCTCTATGTTGAAAGATTAGGCTATCACGAACACAATGGTGTGCTCCAATTTTCTCTAGGACTCCCACAAGACTCGTCCGAAGGTCCCTGGTACCAGTAAAAAAAATAGTATATACAGAGATTAGTGCCTAAAATAAGGGGTAACTTGTTCCATGTAGTGAATCAGTTATTAAATGCTTTTCTATTGGTTAATGGCGGTAATGCCAAATTCAATGTTTCATAATTTTTTATATACATATTTTTATACCTAAAGGGGTCTGTCTTAAAATTCTAAATCAAATAGCTAAATAATTCCTGCTTGAATTTTTGCTTGTAAGCGGGAATCAGGAGAATAGAATTATGGTCCGATTTGCCAAATGGGGGGCGAGGGAGAGCTTTGTATGCGTGTGTGGAGTAAAGGTGGTCTAGAGTGTTCTATCCTGCCGATACAGTGTATAACACGCCAGCTGTATGTTATTCATGTCATCGTTCAGCCATGACTCTGTGAAACATAAGATATTGCTTCTTTTAATGTCCCCTTGGTAGGATATTCGTGCTTGTAGTTCGTCCACTTTATTATCAAGCTATTTAAGTTGGCCAGTAGTATCGATGGCAAAGGCAGATTAGCCACTCCTCGCCGGCTCCTTACCAGGCACCCCGATCTCCTTCCGCGATATCTCCTTTCTACTTCGAATGACGGGTATGAGGGCCCTGTCGGGTGTCTGGAGCAAATCCCTCTCGTCTGACTCATTAAAGAAAAATGATTTGTCTGTTCAAGATGAGTAATCGCTGTTCTGATGTCCAGACGCTCTTTTCGGTCATGAGACGGTAGCAGCAACATTATGTACAAAATAAGTGACAAACAATGTGGGGAAAAAACCACACAATAGCACAGTTGGTTAAGAGTCCATAACTGCAGCCATCACTGTGAACACCTGAGGCTTTACCCACTTTAAGTTAGTTGTAACAGTGGCCAAGTAGGCTACTGTGGTTATTTGATCATAATGTAGGCCTACCAGAGTGACCTATCAAAAACAATGGAGAAAATGCATCCCATAACATTTTAACATGGATATAGCAGTTCTATCATTCAGCCTACAGTAGCAGCCAATGTGATGTTCAATGTAGGCCTACATTCCATGAGACTTTTGGGAAAAAAACATGCATGGCTTGACATTAACCCGTCTTATCCGCTTGTCATTCAGACAAGGCGGTGACTGAATGTTGTTTGATGGAAGAAACTACTTTAAATAAAATTAATTATTCCCATACCATTACCACAGAGACTCAACAAATTATGCTACCCTCTGCCTATCGGTTACTTAACTTATTTAAGCCTGTCACAAAATACAACACTGCATCTTTAAGACAAAGCTCTGACTCACTTTTCAAAGATGTTTAGAAATGCACATGTTTGTGCTCTTGTAGGAAGCAGTCACTCCCCTATTGCTGACTACAAATTATCTAAAACTGGGCTAATAACTCACTAACTAGCAAAGGATATGAATAAAATGGGCACATGTAGCTCTTGCTTTGATCTCAACATAAGTGCATCTGCTCACAACCACAGTTGTAAACACATTCCAGTTCAAAGTAAATAGCACAGATCAATATATGGCAATGGTCTATTTGCATATAGGCACTGCAGCACTGATTGGTTATGGCGCACAGGTCTATGTAGAGTACGGGTTGAGTCGTGCAATAGAATCCTACTCGGATGCATTCTGCCTACAACAATCTCTTGCATAGTTTTTGTTTCGGTATATTGCAGTGAAAGTGACTAACATTGTGTTGATTTGATCACAATTGCCACAGTCAAGGGAAACATTGATAGTGTTAACTAACAGGGAAAACTCTAGAAAGAAAGTTGAGTGTAGTTCAATCTCGTGCTTCTCTCCAGTGGACTGATATTTCTTCTGTGCATTGCAGGTGGCTACTGCTATTTCTTGTGCGCTCTGCACACCAGTGGCGGGTGCGGCAGCTTAACGGGAACATTGCCTACATGATGCCAAGTATCACGATCTGGCGTGATATCGCGATACCACAGGGGGAAATGTCAGTGGCCTAGTGTCCTGTTGGCCATGTCCCCTGACACTTCCCTTTTTCTAAATGTTATGTGCATGTGCTATACAAAATAACCTGATTCACACTTCTACTCAATACAACACATTGAATTTAACTTCACTGTATAATAGAATACTGCATAGAATGGCAGATTTGTGAAGGCCTACCTGTGATTTGGTTGGAGGAATGGGAGAAAGGAATATATGCATAATGACCTGCATGTCATTGTGGCGATAAGGGGAAAACACTGCATGAAACCTTTACTCTTCAGTTAAAGGAAAACTCCACCAAAAAACGGTCTTTTGCTTTTTGTTTCATTAGTCCATTGTTGATATAATCCCAATGTTTTGCTTGTCAGCATGTGTTTTTTCCTTTACCACACACTCCCTCCCTCACACACGGTCTCCCTTTATAAACTCCCACTACTCTCTCTGTCCCACAAACACATACACACTGCTCCCAACTTTTAAAACATTAGGCACCAAACAGAACGTAATAAGCACCAGAAAGCAATAGTTTTTGATAGTTTAGACTTACATTAGGCCTATATGAATCCTACCTTTTTTGAAGCACATCTCATGAGTAGCAGAACCTTTTCCTTTCTTCCTGTGCCAATCAATTTTGCCTAGACCTACTGTCAAGTTACCAGGTTGTTAGCTAGCTAGGTAACATGACTGAACAATGTTTGTTATCAAAACAATAAGCAGCCCGGGATTAGTTTAAAACGGCCCAGTGACATGGTTTGTGAAATTCAAATGTGTGCAGGAAGAAAAAAAGTTGGCACAGGTTGTGAGTCATTATTTATTTTGCCGTTTGATCCTATGCCACGTTGAAAGTCACTGAGCACTGCAATAAGGCCATTCTACTGCCAATAGCCGAATCCACTAATTTGAAGGGATGTCCACATACTTTTGTATGTACAATGAATTCGGAAAGTATTCAGACCCCTCAACCTTTTCAACATTTTGTTACGTTAGCCTTATTCTAAAGTTGATTAAATTGTTTTCCCCCTCATCAATCTATTCACAATACCCCCTAATGACAAAGCAAAAACAGGTTTTTAGAAATGTTTGCAAATTTATAATAAAAAATCTATGTAAATGTGATAAGTATTCAGACCCTTTACTCAGTACTTTGAAGCACCTTTGGCAGCAATTACAGCCTCGCGTCTTCTTGGGTATGAAGCTACAAGCTTGGCACACCTGTATTTTGGGAGTTTCTCCCATTCTTCTCTGTAGATCCTCTCAAGCTCTGTCAGGTTGGATGGGGTGCGCCGCTGCGCAGCTATTTTCAGGTCTCTCCAGAGCTGTTCGATCAGGTTCGTGTCCGGGCTCTGGCTGGGCCACTCAAGAACATTGAGACTTGTCCCGACACCACTCATGCGTTGTCTTGGATGTGTGTTTAGGGTCGTTGTCCTGTTGGAAGGTGAACCTTCGCCCCAGTCTGAGGTCCTGAGCGCTCTGGAGCAGGTTTCCATCAAGGATCTCTCAGTACTTTATTCTGTTCATCTTTGCCTTGATCCTGACTAGCCTCCCAGTCCCTGCCGCTGAAAAACATGCCCACGGCATGATGCTGCCACCACCATGCTTCACCGTAGGGCTGGTGCCAAGTTTCCTCCAGACGTGACTCCCGAGTGGCGCAGTGGTCTAAGGCACTGCATCGCAGTGCTAGCTGTGCCACTAGAGATCCTGGTTCAAGTCCAGGCTCTGTCGCAGCCGGCCGCGACCGGGAGACCCATTGGCGGCGCACAATTGGTCCAGCGTCGTCCAAGGTAGGGGAGGGGACGTATGCATTCACTAACTAAGTCGCTCTGGATAAGAGCGTCTGCTAAATGACTTAAATGTAAAATGTGACGCTTGGCATTCAGGCCAAATAGTTCAATCTGGGTTTCATCGGACCAAAGAATCTTATTCCTCAGGGTCTGAGTCCTTTAGATGCCTTTTGGCAAACTCCAAGCTGGCTGTCATGTGCCTTTTACTGAGGAGTGGCTTCCGTCTGGCCACTCTACCATAAAGGCCTGATTTGGTGGAGTGCTGCAGAGATGGTTGTCCTTATGGAAGGTTCTCCCATCTCCACAGAGGAACTCCGGAGCTGTCAGTGACCATCGGGTTCTTGGTCACCTCCCTGACCAAGGCCCTTCTCCCCTGATTGCTCAGTTTTGCCGGGCGGCCAGCTCTAGGGAGTCTTGGTGGTTCGAAACTTCTTCCATTTTAAGAATGATGGAGGCCACTGTGTTCTTGGGGACCTTCAATGCTGCAGACATTATTTTGTTATCCTTCCCCAGATCTGTGCCTCGACACAATCCTGTCTCGGACCTCCACAAACAATTATTTCGACCTCATGGCTTGGTTTTTGCTCTGACATGCCCTGTCAACCGTAGGACCTTAATATAGACAGGTGTGCCTTTCCAAAACATGTCCAATCAATTGAATTTACCACAGGTGGACTCCAATGAAGTTGTAGAAACATCTCAAGGATGATCAATGGAAACAGGATGCACTGGAGCTCAATTTCGAGTTTCATAGCGAAGGGTCTGAGTACTTAAGGTATTTCTGTTTTAAAAAATAATAAATTTGCAAACACTTTTAAACCTGTTTTTGCTTTGTTATTATGGGGTATAGTGTGTAGATTGCGTGGGAAACTATTTAATAATACGGCTGTAACGTAACAATGTGGAAAGTCAAGGGGTCTGAATACTTTCTGAAGGGTGGTTGTGTGTTTTTGCTTAAAGTTAAACTTTCGTTTTACTGGAAGAGAAATAGGCTGGCATACTGAGAAGTACAGATAAAAGAAGCTACACATCAGTCGGTGCGCTGTCTGCTGATAAAATGCCAGTTCATTAATTCTCATCCGGGTTTAGAAGTTTGACTGAAGCACAAATGTAGTGATTCCGAGCAGAAATTACAATAAGCATTTTAGATCTGTGTTTACAAAACGCCACAATTGTGTTAATGCGACCCCTAGTTTAACTTGCTAAGTGGCTAAATTATTAAGGTTATTGGTTAGCATATTTAGCTAGCAGCCTCCATGCAAATTCACTAATACTTGTGCTAATTTTGTTAGCATTCTGGTAATAGATGCTCAATGGGTGTTTTTTGGCGCCCACTTGTGTACCAAACTGGTGATACTGTAAATCCCGGGGTGAGAAGGTAGCTATGAAAATCTGGAAACGCCCAACCCTAATGAGTGCATCGGTCTGTGGGAGGCCATACTTATGCTAATTAATCATGCATCGGTTAGAACCGATTTTGAATCACAGGTTCTGTCTTTTTACTGCTTTTTATTCAGAAAATATCGCTTATCTGTTGACTGAATTGATGCGTCCTCTCCTAAAGTTCAGTAGCCTATCGAACCTTATTGCATGTAATTGGTAATTGCTGACTTTTGGCCGATAAACAACTATTTTAGCAGCTTAGAAGTCACTGCAGACAGATCCAGCTCAGAGGCCCAAGCTCCTATTAATTTAAAATGGAAAATGATTGTGTTCATGCAACAAAATTAACCGCTTCAAACTAAAACGTATCGGAGCCCATGCGTCTAGATGCGTATTGAATCCTTCATGGAAGGAGAGCTGCACATCTGTAATATAGGCTATATCTCAATTAGTTTAAAAAAAAATGTATGGCTCCTAAATTTTGTGGCCCTAACTGTTTTTTAAGTTGGGAGCACCAGTGAATTTAAAAAATGTAGAGCCATGGGTGGTAGGCCCTATCTCCATGTGTTGGTTTGAGAGGACTGGCGCAGGGTTAAAGTAATACGGCCAAAAATAAATCCAGTACCACCCAGCCTTTCAAAGGGCATGATGAAGCTATCAATCACTACTGGATATATTGATTGAACAGTTCTTCAAATATGAGTTGCGACTTGCCCAAAGGGTAGGTGCTATGGGTGGATTTTCGGATCGCTCTGACATTTTGGATTGTGGTTCTTCAGGCTTACTGACCCATTCCCCCTCTGCCCCTATCAGGCGGTGATCCTCCATGGGGGCCTGTCTAGTGACAATATGGCCAGTCTGGAGCTGGAGACAGAGGCTCTGGAGGCCCTCCACTGCTGTCTGGACCCCTCCATACTGTCCATCTTTGAGGACACAACCACAGAAGAGGTAAGGCTCAGAGAGCAATGTTCAAATCACTTCCTGTTTCCTATATAGTGCACAACTTTATAATGGTAAAAAAAAAAAAAAAAATGGACTTTGCTGATTTGTGATTTTTTTTTTCTTCTCAAAGAACACCTTTTTTTCTTCTCAGAATAAAGTTGGACTTGATGAGGATAACGAGGCGACGCTGCTCACAGCTCTGACTGAGATCCTGGATAACGTGGACGACGAGAACCTGTCCCCCTTCGACACACTGCCAGACTCTGACCTACTGACTGGCCAAAAAGGCCGGGAACACTCTCCGGTGAGTTCAACATACAAACTGAAGTTATCCCTGTTTGACATGCTGCCCGACTCCGAACATGCACCCCATGGATTCCCAGTTGTTCCTGGCCAACACACCAGGGTTTACGCTAAGACAATTTGGCGCCGGACAAGTGACCGGGAAGATTTTAATTTATCGGACATTTGAGAAATGTACCTGTCCTCCATATCCGTAACCCATTAGGGTGTCCACCCAAGCAGCCAGCAGCATCAATAAACCGATATTAGCCAAATGAGCCACCTCTACGTGTCCTTAAAAATAACCCATTACATTGTGTTTCGATGTGTATCTAAAACTATATAGCCTATTGTTAAATTGGTTTTTACTTTCCTAAAACCATAATTGCTCACCTTACGGTTCAGCTGTTGGCGATTTGAGCACTAAATGCATCAGGGCGTTGCATGCATAGGCCTATAGGCTTAGGCGTCCACTGTATGAGATTAATATAAAAAAATGAGAAGCTTAGGCCTTGCCCCAGAGATGCCGGCGGCATGCTACGACGCTGACATACATGTCTTTATCCTTGTCAGATGGGCTACTGCATCTGCCATACAGATATAGGCGTACAGGAGGAGGCTAATTTATAAATCAAATTGTATTTGTCGCGTACACATGTTTAGCAGATTTTTATTGCGGGTGTATCGAAATGCTTGTTTATAGCTCCAACAGTGCAGTATATCTAACAATTCATATTGTTAGACTATAGGAGTAACTCTGGTAGGCCTAAAACATAATTCCTCACCTGAAGTTCAACTGGTGCGCACTGCCTTCATAGCATAGGCCTGCAGTATAATAGACTAATGGGTACACCAAACTTCACAAACATTTCTTAACTTTATTGGGATAATATCAAAAGTTAGTCGAGCCATTGTTTATAGGGAAAATACGAGCAGGGTATGATATTTCGGCAAACGCATTACAGTTTGGAACTTTAATTTAATAGGCACACGTTTACACGGAGGCCAGGTAGCCTAGGCCTACTTCTATGTATAATCAGGTGCGTGTCCTTACTCAACATTGACAGGAGCACTACAAACGACAATTAATAAATTGACAACTCCTAAATGTAATGAAACCAAAACTTGTTCCTCAGTGTAGCCTAGGTTGTGCGGTCTGCAACCGACGTGTCCACTCTGACAATGAGAACGGTAATAGACTGTAAATGTATTGAATGCATTAACAGAAATTACCATAACCAAACAAAAATTTATTGATAGAAATGATGGAAATGAAAGGTAAACGACACTGGTGTGCCATCCCTGCGGCCTCCGCAATGGGTTAGTCCACTGAGACAGGCGTGAATCAGACAGGCGTCTCGTGCCATAAAAAAAAAAATCTTGGTCGATCAACAGCCTGTCGACTAAATGGGGCAGCCCTAGATGTTTCCATCAGAACCAATTATGGATACCGTTCAACGCGGGACACTTGCTGCTAAAACCGTCATTGGCCAAGTACTAATCTCACTATGCAATGCCCTTAGACGGATCATTACTGTTTAAAAAAAAAACTGTGCTTAACTGTTATAGCTAGGGGTGTAACGTACACATTCGTACCGACCCTTTCGGTACAGGGACCTCAGTTGGGTCCGCATATCTGAGCTGAAAAACACATTCCAGGCTATTCTGTTAAAACAATCAGAGCATATACGCACGCTGTAATCCGCATTTCAAACTGGCATTTTGGGAGGTGCAGCCGGGCACTAGTTCTGTACAATGGGCAGTGGTGGGGTCGATAAACCAGGAGGATTCGCCATCGTTTAAATCATTTTGGCTTCCCAGTAGATTACAACGCTGATGGACAGAGTTTTGGATAGAATATTAACAGTATGTCACCACTGCTGAACGAGAATAACCTAAGCCGCTGCCAACACCTCAAACATCTTGACACATTTACGCCGTCATCACCCCAGTATTCCTACCACTGGCGCAAGACTGAAATGCAAAATAACAACACAACTTAGTCTCCCCACTGCATTCAAGCAGCCTTTCGTAGCTGAAGTTACAAGAGCGATGGGTATGTTTATAGCCGCGGATATACGTCCAACTCTTGCTTATTGGTCTATTAACATATTTTCCGCATGGTGATGTCAAGATGGAAAGCCAAAACTCCATCCCACCAAAACAGGCTGACATTTCAGGCAGTCTTTTTAAACAGCTCATACACTAAAAGGCCATTGTCGTCATTTTCACAATTTAAGTATTATTCCAACCTAGTGTGGAAATGCATATAAAACACATGAAAATCACATTTGACTGCACTAGGCCTTTTGAATAGACAAAACGTAACTACAGTAACTGTTGCCATTTAATTTTCCCGCTGTACCGAAACCAAACCGTGACCCAAAAACCGCAATGCGTGGTGAACCGTTACACCCCTAGTTATAACTGCATACGTGACGTTAAACTTCGTAGGGCTGAGATGGACCCATCTCTAGGAAGCAGGGCTGTCTAAACAAATAGGAAACTGGAATACATTTTGTCACCAATGACAACTTTTTATGCTTAAACTGTTTCACTGTTGATGTTTGTCCTTTGTGATTGTAATGTTTGTTTCTTCTAATATTGTAGCTGAGGAGACTGCTGTGCTTGTCCCACTCGCCTCCAGAGAGAGAGACACTCTGCCACACACGACAGTTCTCCACCGGAAAGGTAGCACACCTGGTTTCATTACCTTCCTGTTGTAAATGCATTCAACTGTATCACTCTAGCATATGCTGTATTTTCATATTGACATGTACATAAGATCTTCAGCGAAATCATGAGACACCAAATAGTCTAGCTGGTGAGAAAGCCTGCATATGCAGGTGGTCCAGTTGACATTTTAAACCTCCAAGCTGAACGGAGAAAGCGCCAGATGTTAACCAGAGGTTTCCTCTCTCTCTTTATCCAGAGTCTCCCCAGGACACAGAAGTCTGTCCAGAGGAGTGATGGAGAGGAGGAAGAGGACGGAGAGGCCTTTTCTCCCTCCCTGAGCCCAAACAGACAGTCCTCGTCCCCAGAGCAAGAGCTCCTGAACTGGGGTGACCTGTCCCTGCCTCTCCCTCTGGCTCTGGAGCAGCACATGGAGGATGAGGGCGAGGATGGAGAGAGCATGTCAGTGAGTCTAGGAGAGCTGGTCAGACACATGCACCCCTATTGCATGGCAGTGTGCGTGGAGGATGAAGAAGGGGAAGAACGGATGCTGGCGGAGGAAGGGATACTGCTGGAGGTGGTGGAACAGGGAGAGCATGGAGAAACGATATTTGCCATCCCAGACATGGGCATCCCTCACTCTCATCTCTCCCTCTCCTTGCCAGGAGTAGAAGACTCGTCCAAAGCAGAGCAGAGGGTTCCAGATGAAATTTCGGAGGCAGATATGTTGGAAACGCCTGAGTCTGAGTTGGCGAATGATGATGTCGTAGTTGACGATGACCCAGCAGAGGTGGCTGGCTCTTCTGCCGCGACCCTGAGGTCAAAAGCAAGGGGTGAGAAGGTTAACAGCAAACCAAAGGAGGAGACTGTAGAAAGATGTCTGTCTCGAAGGAAAAAGAAACGGAAAAACAAAGAGAAGATTTCACCTGCTGAGGTCACTCCTGAACCTGCCCAGGCAGAGGGGAGGGTCCTGCGGAGCGCGTCCAATAGGAGAGCAGCCCAGGAATCCTTGCCCCGGAAGCCCATGAAGGAGACGACCAAACCAGAGAAGAAGAAAATGGACAAAGAGTCGTTTTCTTCTGCCATATCTATGGCCGCCCCCGAAGCCCCAAAACACAAGACGAGAGCGACACATACTGCCGAAACACAACACACACAGCGGCAGAGCCATGTGGAAGTCACAACCCTACAATTATCCACACGCCCCAGCGTTAAGGTCATCCCCGCCTCTGACCATGTGTCAAAGGTCATGGCCTCTGACCTATTGCCAATGACTATGACCCCCGAGAAGGTCCCCCAACCAACCACAGGCTGTGAGAAGCTTCAAGGCCCCCTAGCTTCTGCAGCTAACCCAACAGCCCCCCAGACGATGGCAGCCCCCCAGGCAATGACAATCAACCCTGCAGCACCCCAGTCTCTGAACCCCAGTGAAGTACCTGTGTCAGTGGCCCCTCAGGCAACAATGCAGTCCAACAGTTGCTCTCTAGGGGCCCCCCAGGTGATGCCCCAGCCCATTGAGGCCCCCCAGGCTATTGAGCCCAAGCCTAAGCCCCTGTCCCTCCAGCAGTACCGGCTGCTGCGCCAGCAGAAGAAACCGGCCCCTGTAGAGAGACCGGAGGACCAGAGCACCAAGTGGCCCAGCCTCCCTGATGCCCCTACAGAGCTGCCCCCCATCCCCTGCCTCCCCATCCCCTCTTCCAGAGACCCCCGTCGCCCCCACCCCTCCCCAGGGAAAAATAAGGAGGTGGAGGAGGTGAAAGAAGCCTGGCAGCCCATGGGACCAGGAGCACCTCCTACACCTGAAGCCCTGCTGGTGCCTCCTGCTTACATGCTGGCCTCCAAATCATCTTCCCCTAGCAAGGCTACTAGTGCAAATGCATCCCCTACCACCCCTCCCCAGCAAGCGGCTACGCCACAGCCAGCTAAAGCTAGCCAACCCCAGCCCCCCATCTCCGCTGTGCCTGTATCCAGTACTGTGACGGTAGTACCCCCATCACCCCAGACCCCCTCTACCCAGCCCCAGAACCCTTCTGTGAAGCGTAATATACCCCAGGCCCCCCAGCCTGCACTGCTCCAGTCCCAGCTACCCTCCTTGAAGCCTGTAGTCCTTATCAAATCTGAGAGCTCCAGTGGAGCCTCTTCTAAAACCACTACAGATGCCCACAGGCCCACCCTAATTGCTACTGTAGCCCAAAAACCGACCCCCATCGCTGCTGATTTACCAGAGAAAATGTTAAACCGCACCACCAACGCTGCTGCTGTTTTTGTCCAGAAATCTACCCCTGCTGCTCCTCTGAAGGTGGCTGCAACTCTCCAGAAGGGAGTAGTTACTCTGCCCCAGCCTAAGATGCCTGAGCTGCCTACAGTCACTCCTGGGTCTACCCCAGCCAAGCCCTCCACCACCCAGGCCTCCAAACCTCCAGTGAGGTGTACTACAGCCCAGGAGGCCCCCAAAGCCAAGAGCCCTACTCAGGAGCTGATAGAGGCCTTCACCAGTGAAATCGGTGAGTGGACGTACTACTGATCCTCTGGTTGCTTAAATGTGTTAGACTTGCCACATAGTTTTTGTGGTGTATTGGTATAGTAGTGAGTGGTTCTGTTATCGCTCACAGGTATTGAAGCGGCTGACCTCACCAGCCTGCTGGAGCAGTTTGAAGAGACACAAGGTGAGTGATACTGAGTATTGACGCTAGCGTTCTCTCTGGCTGTAGGGGATACAGTTTTCAAAACGTACTGCCAAACTTCTTCAAATTTCCATGTTTCTTTGGCGTTTTAGTTATTTCATCTGACGCATTACCCACGTTTTCTTGAAAAATAGACATTCTGTTAGAAAACAGCCAGGAGTTTCACTTTAAATGGTTGACTGTTTCCTGCTGAAAATAGAATCCACGTAGCCCTTAATCCTCTAGCATGCTAGTGGCCTTAGTATTGGTTAACAGCTTTGGGTCAGCTAGTTCAGTAGTACTAGACTAAATCTGTCCCCAGGATCACTTTCACTGAATTGTATAATGGAGAAGTGGAGGGAAGTAGGGTTGCAGAGCAGGGCTATCTCTGGCCATGATTGACTGATGGGGTGGGTGGAGGAAATTAGAGTGCCAAGACTCCTGGTGTTAAGAACGGGCACCTTACGATGTCAATGGCTGACACAAACATTGGACTTTGCAGGTCAATCTGGAACATGCTCATTGTCTTGTGTGTTTTGGTTCAGGTAAGTAGCTTGGCGTAGCAGCGTTTGCCATGTGTTGGCTTTTTATTCATGTCTTATCTAGACTAATTTATTTATTTTTGATTTTAAAAACAACAATTGTAGATTTTATTTTGGTTCAGTCAGGATGCTGGTTGTCTTGGCATCAACTGTTCACATGTAAGAAGCATTCTCAGCAAGGTGTCATTCCTGGAGGCCTTTCTGGGTTGTAGCCTAGTTTGCCAGTCCAATACACTTGAGTGCAGTTCAGAGTAGGGAAGGGCACGGTTATTTGAATATCCGAAAGGACGTTAGTATTCGATTACTTGTGAGTATTCATTTGAGGGGGAAATATTATAGGCTTTTTAAAAACTAAATGAAAATATCCATGTGATGTTGTTACATAAGGATATACCATTACATTTTTTTTTATTTAACCTCTACGGGATCGTTGTCCCGTATACCGGACGGTTGAGCTAAAGTGCGCTAATGTGATTAGTATGGCTGTAAGTAATGGCAAACTTTCCAGGACATAGACATGTCCTATATGGGCAGAAAGCTTAAATTCTTGTTAATCTAACTGCATTGTCCAATATTACAGTGAAAAAATACCATGCTATTGTTTGAGAGTGCACCACAACAACAACTTATCACGGCAACTGGTTTGATACATTCACCTCTGAAGGTAAATAATGTACTTACATTCAGTAATCTTGCTCTGATTTGTCATCCTAAGGGTCCCAGAGATAAAATGTAGCGTAGTTTTGTTTGATAAAATCATTTTTTTATATTCAAATGTAGGAACTGGGTTTCTACAGTTTGAACCCCTGCTGTCTCTGGCTCCACACCCACAACGCCAGGCCATCTAGATGGGTGGAAGTTAGTGTATAAGCTAATGATCCATCATGTATGACATTCCTGGGAGTGTGTAACCTTACATTTTGTATTACCATATAATTTTTGTATGTTCTCTATAGCTATGTACTTGAAAATGTATAAATTGACCAATTTGGCACATTTGGGCAGACTTGATACAAAATAGTCCAGTATTGCAACGCTTCGCTGGATGAAGCTGAAACTTTGCGCACTGCTGCCATCTAGTGGCCAGAATCTGAACTGCGCCTAAACTGCAATATTATTATATTGTGGCCTTTCGCTTGCATTTAAAAGATGGAACAAAAATAATAGAAAACACGTTTTTTTTCTTTGTAGTATCTTTTACCAGATCTAATGTGTTATTCTCCTACATGAACTAGTTAAATAAAGGTTAAAAAAAATACAATTAATTTCACATTTCCACAAACTTCAGTGTTTCCTGTCAAATGGTATCAAGAATATGCATGTCCTTGCTTCAGGTCCTGAGCTACAGGCAGTTAGATTTGGATGTCATTTTAGGCGAAAATTGTAAAAAAAAGGGTCCGATCCTTAAGAGGTTAATAAAACAAACTTTAGAATATAGTAGCCTATATGACGTGCGCCCCAGCCTTCACGCTTGTTTCAAGTGATGTGAGAGCTCACTAATGCAATGCAAGTTGGATTTAAAATGAGAGAACACAAATTGAGCAAAATAAGGAGTACAACAATGAGCAATCAACAGGTAGGCTGTGTTTAATCTGAATGGAGTTAAGGAGAAAGCACAGCAAAATATAGTTACGCTAGCGTGGAACCCCGTATTATCGGCATATTCAACAGCGTTTAGTTATTGGCCACCTTTACTATTTTGTTCAAAAAAGAGACCCCAACCATGTATCTGAAGTGTTTACTAGATAGTTGGCTAGCCTTCCGGTAAAAAATGACTTGCCTGTCAGCATTTCATTGCATAGCCTGGTGCGCCCTCCTGTGACTCTTAAATTGTTCTTCACCAACACATTCAGTGTTGTAACCAAATAATGTCTAATTTGTTTTACAGATTAATCTTATGTTTTGAGAAAGTAGATAACAGTTGAATACTCAAATATAAATGAGTATGAATAATTTACATCAAATAAAACTTTAATTTCAGTGATGTGCATTGACATAAACAACACTGGAGTTTGTTGCAGAGATGCACTTGGAAAGTGAAGGAAGAAATACACAAGATGGGTTGAATAAATATAGATATATAGTAGGGCTGTCAAAAATAGCGCGTTAACGACGTTAATTAGTTGTTTGCTGTTAATTACGTCAATTTTTTTAACGCATTTCACGCATGCGCAGTGTGACAAATTATTCAGGTCAGGAAAGTGGTTGGGAGCTAGAGGCGAGATGGAGCAAGGTGAGCAAAGTGGGCCTATTGACGGATTCAAATATAAAAAGAATGATGATGGTACAGTTAACAAGTACAAGGTTATTTGCAAGATTTGTAAGAAGGAGTTTCAATTTCACCGGAGCTGTTCAAGCTTGAAGTACCATGTCAACGCCAAACATGCGTTTGCTGGGCCGTCAGATTCAGCAAGTGGTTTGCGCCAGACCACGCTGAATGTTTGCAGGCAATTAACAAAATCAACCTCAGATAATTTGACCAACACAATAGCAAAATGGATTGCAAAGGATTGTAGACCCATTAGCATTGTAGAAGACTCAGGTTTCCTTGATGTTTTGCAAGTGGCGTCTCAAGACTCATTCTATAAGCCACCGTCAAGAGCCACAGCCAAAGACAAATATTATGGTGTGTAGTATGTTTCAGCTTGATTTAAAACACCATTATTTGGCTGTGTTAATAAACAGACATAATATGAAAATTATGTATCTGTGTCCTGTTTATCTTTTGGTATGCATTTCAGAAAAAAAATGGTTAGGATTCAGGTGTAATTGCAAATAGTGATTAATCATGATTAATCCACTGAAAATTCTGATTAATTTGATTAAAAATTTTAATCATTTGACAGCCCTAATATATAGATTATATTTTAGACTTTTTTTGTACAAATAATAATTTCATATGAACACAAACAATTACATCTTGACCTCCATCCCTATATTGAGCACAGCAGGTGGTGTCTTTTTATTAAAAATACAATTGATTTAACATGGTTTTGCAAAATGTAGAAGTTCTTCAACAACAATAGTAATTGATAAAACAGAGCGAAAAACAGATTATGAAGTACCTGAGAGTGGTGGCGTGACCGGTGGAGCTTTTCTCTTCCTTTTCTGTGCTGCAGTTTGAGAAAAAGTAGTGTTAGACAGAGCATGTTTCATGAAAACCCTTTTCAACCTCCCAGTGTGTAGTGGCCACCGGGGAAACACTTTGGGTAGATGATAAATTGGGGGACGTCCTCCCCAGCTGTGTTGAAGCAGGCCAGCACTGTGATGTGCTCCTTAGTCCCCGGAGCCTGCTGGTACACGTGTTTTGTGCCCTGGGGAGCCAGCACTTTGTGCCTACTCTGATCGCTACGAAACCCAGACTCATCGCCGTTATAGATTTGTCTGGGTTTCTCCCTCAACCCACTCTCCAAGTGCTTCTCATAATAAGTGAAGGTGTCTCATAAGAAGTGAAGGTGTCCATCGTCGGACGTGTGGCACACTCAGCTCTCCCCCTGTCCAGGTTGTCCGGCTTCCTCATGCTCAGGTTCTTGTGCCGCCTCCTGAACATTTCCCACCACCTCTTCCCCAGTGGTGAAATTGTTTGGGTGCCGAAACCTAGAATACAATAGAACTGTCCATCCAGGATGAAAATGTTTGTTTTGGGATCACCATACACATCCACATCACACACTGAGAACAGTCAGTCCAGCAATCTACATACATAAACACATAGAACACCAAATACCTGCATATTTTATCTGCATATTTAATCAGCCTCTGTCTGGTGAAGGGGAACCCATGGCTGGCTGCAGTAGATGCAGTACTGCACCAGAGAATGTTCATCCTCTGGTGCAAGCAATGTGGGTGGTCCACTGCAACAACCATGGGTCACCCGGCCGCTCAGCCTGTTCACCAGGGTCTGCCGAGGTACACCATGCACCTTGGTAGAAAAGAGAACTGTTACTAGCAGATAAAATTCACCTACACATGGTCATCTCCTATAAACAAAAGATGCATAACCTTGGCAGCCTGGTGGATAGCCATCTTTGCCCCGCAGTCCTCCATGGCATGGAACATGTCCACCTCACTCCACTGCTTCCTCTTGACTTTCTCCATGCTGTGGTGGTAAATACAAGTAGCTAAATAACTTGGCATACTATACACATTTTAGAAAGATAACTCAATCTGAATGTGTAAACATTTACATTTCAGAGCTAAGGCATTGAAAGGTGAACGTTTTTACAATAACTGAAAGTGTACCCACGTTTTTTGTTTTATCTGTAATGAAAATTAGTGTCCCAATTAGTTTAATATTGATGCATACATTGTAACATTTGACTAAATACTGCCTCTATGTAGCTGTTGTAAGATGAAACATAGCCAACAGTGATGGGTGTCAAAGTTCATGGTTCAAAGTTCCAAATATATTTTAGCAGATTGTGCAAAACGTCCCCATCAGAGGACTCCAATGTTGATACGGTAAAGCTTGACAACATTCAGCTGTTTTCGTGATATGTATTATCTAACGCTTACAATTTATTTCCCTTTTGGGCTCCCGAGTGGCGCAGCGGTCTAAGGCACTGCATCTCAGTGCTTGAGGCGTCACTACAGACCCCCGGTTCGATTCCAGGCTGTATCACAACCGGCCGTGACTGGGAGTCCCATAGGGCGGCGCACAATTGGCCAAGCGTCATCCGGGTTTGGCCGGTGTAGGCCGTCATTGTAAATAAGAATTTGTTCTTAACTGACTTGCCTAGTTAAATAAAAAAAATTGCTGTCTTAGCAGTTATCAACATTTAGCAACTAAGCTAGCAACATTAGAAAATCTGTTAGCTATATTTCAGAGGTAAAAAGTTGGATATTAAATAATGTGTCCCACAATGTGTACATAACTTTTTTGAAAACTCTCAACTTAACTAACTTAAATTGCACTGAAAATCGGTGGTCAGCTAGCTAGAAGGGGGTCTTTAGTCGCAAAACGTACTGTTATTTTCCAGTCCATGTAAATGTTGAGCTCGAGGTGATTTAGTCCTCCAACCGAAAGGGTTGTCCGACGTTGGGGGGGTGGAATTAGCTAGCTTCTTTAGGCTACTCCGATTTGACACAGTGAAGACGGGCACTGTCAAATGGATGATAAATAACATTGTGGCTGCGACAAGTTAGCCAGTTTAGCTAGCCTTTGACGTGCTGGCTTGGCTGCATGCATATCTTTCCCTCCTGTCAGCTCCACTCGCATCTAACACACCATCCGGCCCTTCCCCCGCAGCAGCAGAGCTGCACAGTCTCTCCCGGTGTGCTCAGGTTAATAACATAAGTATAAAAATAAATTCCATGTATTCTGGATATCCATTCTCCCCCCCCATAATAGTGAAATAGTACATTTATTTCGAACACCCATCCCTAGTTCAGAGTTCATTGTTCATGTTTGATTACATGATTTATCATATATTCTGCACGTGAATAATAAACATGGTGGTGAGACTTCACGTGCCGTTCACTCTGCAGTCTGCATGGTTAGAAGAAACAAGATGTTGGTGACACCGATGCTGCTTGTAAGCGTTCTATAATTACACGATTACAATGAGCAAAAACACAAATGCAACATGTAAAGTGTTGGTTTCATGAGCTGAAACATTTGTTTACATCCCTGTTAGTGAGCATTTCTCCTTTGCCAAGATAATACATCCACCTGACAGGTGTGGCATATCAAGAAGCTGATTAAACAGCATGATCATTACACAGGTGCATCTTGTGATGGGGACAATAAAAGGGCACTAAAATGTGCAGTTGTCACAATGCAACAGATGTCTCAAGTTGAGGGAACATGCGGTTGGCATGATGACTGCAGGAATGTCCACCAGAGCTGTTGCCAGAGAATTGAATGTTCATTTCTCTACCATAAGCTGCTTCCAACATCGTTTTAGAGAATTTGGCAGTACGTCCAACCGGCCTCACAACCGCAGACCACGTGTAACCACGCCAGCCCAGGACCTCCACATCCGGCTTCTTCACCTGTGGGATCGTCTGAGACTAGCCACCCGGGCAGCTGATGAAACTGGGTTTGCACAACCGAAGAATTTCTGCACAAACTGTCAGAAACCGTCACATGGAAGCTCATCTGCATGCTCGTCGTCATCAGGGTCTTGACCTGATTGCAGTTTGCGGGCAAATGCTCGCCTTCGATGGCCACTGCCACGCTGGAGAAGTGTGCTCTTCACACTGTACCGGGCAGACATGTGGGCGAGTGGTTTGCTGATGTCAACGTTGTGAACAGAGTGCCATATGGTGAGGTTATGGTATGGGCAGGCATAAGCTACAGACAACGAACACAATTGTATTTTATCGAAGGCAATTTGAATACAGATGCTGTGAAGAGATCCTTGAGGCCCATTGTCGTGCCATTCTTTCGCTGCAATCACCATGTTTCAGCATGATAATGCACAGCCCCATGTCGCAAGGATCTATACACAATTCCTGGAAGCTAAAAAATCTCCCAGTTCTTCTATGGCCTCCATACTCACCAGACATGTCTCCCATTTGAGCATGTTTGCGACGCTCTGGATCGACGTGTACGACAGCGTGTTCCATTTCCCGCCAATATTCAGCAACTTCGCCATTGAGGAGTGGGACAACATTCCACAGGCCATAATCAACAGCCTGATCAACTCTATGCGAAGGAGATGGGTTGCGCTGCTTGAGGCAAATGGTGGTCACACCAGATACTGACTGGTTTTCTGATCCATGCCTCTACCTTTTTATTTAAGGTATCTGTGACCAACAGATGCATATCTTTATTCCCAGTCGTGTGAAATCCATAGATTAGGGTCTAATGAATTCATTTTAATTGACTGATTTCCTTATGAACTGTAACTCAGAATCTTTATTGTTTCATATTGCCTTTATTTGTTCAATGTAGTTTGTGTAGCTCTTACTGTCTGCAAAAGGCTAGTTTCATTTCTTAGCATGTTGTGGCTAAAATAAATATTGTTAGCAGTTAGCTATCTAGCTAGCAAAATGTAAGCGTAGCTAGCTAATACAGCGCGATACCAGTGCTGGTGTAGGCCTAGAGCAGCATGTTTTTGTGCAATGGTATCTTCTAAATTAGAGAGGAATAGGCATAGCATGAATGTTAGCGAGAGTTACCTACATGAGAAAATGTTACATCCTATAGGGTCCCCTAGGAAACACTAACCAACACTTGTTCCTACCCTGTCACAATTCCTCCCTAGCTTATTCATTTGTCATGTCAAACAACAATGTATTTAAAGTGCTGCCCACTTGAATTACAATTATATTTCCATGATTCCAACAGTTCACCAATAAACTAGACCTAGATTGTTTGCCCATATGTGGGACAGTGTGGAAGTTATAACAAAAGTGCAGGAAATGCAGAAATTAAGATTATTTTTGGTTGAAGTTAGATTGTTTTATGCTGTTCAGTCAGAATGGAGAAAGCCCCATTTGAAATCATGTGTTGCCACCCTTGTCCTGAACTACTGATATTTAGCTATGTTTCGTTAGTCCATTGTTGATATAGTCCCAAAAATGTTTTGCATGTCAGCAATCGAGTTAAGATACAGAATGTAACTTTCAAAATACAGGAATGTAGCCCGTATGATGCATTATACATAATACGGGCCAAGTTAAATTCTGTATCTTAACTTGATTGCTGACATGCAAAACATTCAGGGACTATCAACAATGGACTAATGAAACATAGCAAAGGTAATTTGGGTGGCTTTCCTTTAGTCATATTTAGACCCTTTTCTTATATTATTCAAAAACAAACTACTGTCTTACTATGAAAAATATCGTGATATATTTTGGCCATATTATCCAGTCCTACAAGGGGGGAAACTGGGTTCACATTTTCTACTATTACTACTTTAATAGGGGTTTGCCCCTTTAAGTGTATGTCTTCTTTTTAAAAAAGACTGCATAGTCAGGGCGGCTGCTATGCGCTCATGTCGGCTGAGCTGCTGGAATTCTGCCCTGTCCGCAGATCCATTTAACACCGCTGCCGTTGTCTGGCTGGATGTACAGGCCCCAGCTAGAACAACTGGCCAGACGTGTGTGTGTGTGCGTGCGCACGGGTTGGCACCTCCACTGGCGTGTGTGTGTGATGCCACCAACTAGTCCAGGCCTAGCATAATGGCTGAAACCTCATGTAGATCTATCCCAAAATCAAAATGTTATCATGGAAACGAGTGCCTATGAATGTGTTGGAGAAAGGTGAGCATGCTACCTACCCCCCCCCCCCCCCCCATCCCTTGCTTTTACTCATTCCTTCTCTTCCCTCTCTCTCTCTCCAGCTAAAGAGGAGCAGTATGTTCTGGAGGTCTCTGGTAGAGCAGCAGCTGTAGGAAACTCTAGGTGAGTTACCCTACAGCCTCATGCTGCTCTTAGTCGGTGTGTGGGTACTTTGTGTGCGTATGGATGTGGAGCATTCGCCAAGACCTACCACACACTCAATTGTTCTACTGTTCTTGTCTGTGTGGCCTCTGGACTTAGCCTTAGGCTCATCTTAGTGTACATGTTCAATGAAGCAGTGTGTTGAAGGTGCGTGTTTGTTTCTATCGTAGTGTGGAGCAGCCATGTGACAGGACAGTCGTGGAGACTGTCAGCACGCATGACCTGGCAAGCACTGCAGGTAAGAACTACTGTACTAATCACCCCTGTAAGCTGCTAATGCTTATTGTATTCTGCTAATGCTAACCATAAACCAATCACCCGGTCGTCACTAGTTGCCACAGTCATAAACCCTGCCTATTTCTACAATTTCTTGTGAATTTAGGATATAGCCAATTTTGACTTTGTGGCTATGATATCTAGTGGAATCCCAATCACCCTGTACAATGCTAATCACACACCAATCAACCTGTACACTGCTAATTGTAAATTGCTAATGCTAGTCATACACCAATGGTCCTGCATGGCTCAGTTGGTAGAACATAGTTCATGCAACGGCAGAATTTTAAGTGTATATTAATCGCCCTGCACACTGCTGATGCTAATCACACACCAATCAGCCTGGGCCCGTTTTCCCAAAAGCATCTTAAGGGTAAGTTCATCGTTCAAACCTTCATAGGAACATCGTTAAATCTCCCAAAAGTTTCCCAAAACTATCATTAGTAAAGTTGCACTTGAAAAGTTATTAGAACAGCTAAGTGTGTCATTAGATGTATTTTTCTTTCCCCCTGCCGCGTCACTTCATGTACAGCTCTCCGCTAAACGTATAACTACGAAGTTGATATTTGCAGCCATAGGTGATTATCTTTCTAGGAGCTGATCCTTCGTCAGTATTGTGGAATAATTATAATGTTAAGGTAAGATTTGAATGGAGAAAGCTGATCAGAGAGCAGTGCTGCCATTCCATCCTATCAGTATCGACGCATGCTCCAATGACACTTAACAAAAAACATTCTTTTTCCGTGGTGTTTTGGGAAACGCATGCTACATCTTCGGCCATTGTAGGAACAATGCATCGTTAAAACACTCGTAAGCCTAAGTTCCATTGCTATTGGGAAACTGGGCCCTGTACACTGCACAGGCTAATCACACTGCTAATGCTAATGGCCCACCAATCACCATGTACACTGCTAATAAAAAAAACATTTAAAATAATGTTTTATTGTCACGCAACGGATAGGTGTTTTACAGGGTCAGTCGTAGTAGTATGACCCCTGGAGTAAATTGGGTTTAAGTGCCCTGCTCGGGTATTTGAGTCAGTGTCCTTTTCGGTTATAGGTCGAACGCTCTAACTGCTAAGCTACCTGCCGCCCTATACACTGCTAACATACTAAAAACATGGCAGAGGTTTACGCCCTAAAATAAATCGCTGTCACTCCATGGAGTAAATGGAAAATATGAACACCCGCCTGTATCTCCTGGTAAAATGCTTGACATCCATTTTTGTGGTCCAAAATCTACCTTCAAATGGCAACCAGAGGCATTCTGCTTCAGATTTAACAGTAGTGGACTACTCTCTGTTCCATCTCCTTCCAGGTCTGACCCCTCCAGCTACCCCTCCTCACCAGATGTGGAAGCCCCTGGCCCCCGTGGCCCTCCTTGGGAAGAGCCGAGCGGTTGAGGCCCCCAAACCATCGCCCTCCAAGGCCATCCAGATCGACGCGCGGCCCCTGCCCTCCAACAAGCTCCGAAGCAAGCCCCCCAGCCCACCTGTAATTCCCACCCCCAACCCGGTGGCTCTCACCCTGGCTTTCTCAGACCACGACTACTGCCTCCCTCAGAAGGAGCCTGTAGCTATTGCTGGAGAGCCAGGCAAGCGCTGGAATGTCAAACAGCAAGCAGCCATCACCATCAGGACCATCGAGCCACTTGGCAGCACCACTACCAGGGCACCCCAGAGGATCCCTGCCCCCTCCCTCCAGACCCTCATCCCTGCCCTGGGTACAAAGATCCAGCAGGCTCCTCAGCCCCTGGATGTAAAGACTGACAGGACTAGCTCTGTGCTGGGGACCCCTGAAGCCTCTCCCACCAGGCTGGAGCAACAGGTCGGTCCCCTGGAGAGGAGTCCCAAGAAAGAGAGGTCCTACCGGGGCTACAACACTACCTCCTCCCCCATGCCTAGCCCCAGCCCCAGGGAAGGAAAGCGAGGACGGGAGAGGAAAAGGAGACTCCACCATTCCTCCAGCCCTTGTTCTACTGACTCTGAGTCAGACTTTCACTCCTCTTCTCAGTCTAGATCTTGCTCTCCACCCAGGAAGAGGTGAGACGCTCATCCCCTCTTTTATTTCTGTTTTAAAAGCTATTTGTCCCCTCTTGTCACTGGGCAAGGCGGTGTCCACTAATGGCACTGTCTTACATCTGTCAGGGGAAGAGAGAATGTCCATATTCATCCCAGTCATCTCTAGTCAGTGAGGAAAAAGGCTGGTTCATGCTATGGACACAGATGTATAGTATTTGTATCTGTTTTGAACAGACTTTGTTTGAGTTCTCAATCTTTGTTCTCCCCCATCTGCTACCAATGTAGCACTCAAGGTGATGTCATTGGTTTACATCCACGTGACTAATGGAGATATCCAGTCCATCCTGATCTGACATCACTGACAGATTCCCTCCTTCCTCCCGTCCTTCTCTTCTCCAGGTACAGGCCTCGTCACTCTAAGAGCAGCTCCAGTGCTTCGTCTTGCTCCTCTCGTTCCTCCTCTCCTTCCCTGTCCCGCTCTCCACCCAGGCGGCGGTATTCCTACTCCTCTTCCCGATCAGGATCCTGGAGTACGTCCCGTTCCCGCTCTCCCCACAGACGGGCATGGCGCAGAGGCAGCAGACCACGCAGGTAATTAAAGCACTTTCCTTGTAAACAGCCGTGAGCTTAAAAAAATTATATGGAAATTAACCGCATGTACATTGCCTGAAGACAGTATTCACACCCCTTGACCTTTTCCACATTTTGTTGCTACAGCCTGAATTAAAGATGGATTAAATTGGTTTGTCACTGGCCTACACACACTACCCCATAATGTTAGTGGAATATGTTTTGATGGTTTTTACAAATTAATTAAAAATGCTGGAATGTCTTGTATTCAATCCCTTTGTAATGGCAAGCCTAAATAAGTTCAGTAGTAAATGTTTGCTTAACAATTCATAAGTTGCATGGACTCACTCCGTGTACAATAAGTGTTTAACATGATTTATGAATGAATACCTCATCTCTACCCCACACATACAATTATCTGTAAGGTCCCTCAGTTGAGCAGTGATATTTCAACCACAAAGACCAGGAAGGTTTTCCAATGCCTCGCAAAGAAGGGCACCTGTTAGTAAATGTTTTTAAAGCACTTCGGATGGTGTATCAATACACCCAGTCACTACAAAGATGCAGGCATGCTTTCTAACTCAGTTGCGGAGAGGAAGGAAACCGCTCAGGGATTTCACCATGAGGCCAATGGTGACTTTAAAACAGTTAGTTGAATGGCTGTGATAGAACTGTGGATGGATCCACATTGTAATTACTCCACAATACTAACCTAAATGAGAGCGGAAAGAAGAGCCTGTACAGAATAAAATATGTTACAAAACATACATCCTGCTTGTAATAAGGCACTAAAGTAAAACTGCAAAAATAAAATGTGGCAAAGAAATTGTTTATGTCCTGAATACTAACCGTTATGTTTGGGGCAAATCCAAGACCACATCACGGAGTACCACTTTCATATTTTCAAGCGTGGTTGCTGCATCATGTTATGGGTATGCTTGTCATCGGCACGGGATGTTTTTTTAATTAGAAACTGAATATAATTAAGCACAGGCAAAATTCTAGAGGAAAACCTGGTCGGCTGCTTTCCAACAAACACTGGGAGACTTCCCTGGTAAGAAGCAGTTGGAGTCTGCAGTGCTGCACTGCCTGTCTCTGCTGGACCTGGCCCTGCAGAAGACCTGGCCCTCCACTGCATTCTCCCGAGTGGCGCAGTGGTCTAAGGCACTGCATCGCAGTGCTAGCTGTGCCACTAGAGATCCTGGTTCAAATTCAGGCTCTGTCGTAGCTGTCCGTGACCGGGAGACCCATGGGGCGGCGCACAATTGGCCGGCAGGGATGTAGCTCAGTTGGTAGAGCATGGCGTTTGCAACGCCAGGGTTGTGGGTTCGATTCCCACGGGGGGCTAGTATGAAAAATAAAAAAAAATATGTATGCACTCACTAACTGTAAGTCGCTCTGGATAAGGGCGTCTGCTAAATGACTAAAATGTAAATGAGACTAATTCACCTTTCAGCAGTACAACAACTGTATATTTCACATTGTGTTAAGTTAAAGTCGGAGGTTTACATACACCTTAGCCAAATACATTTTAAACTCAGTTTTTCACAATTCCTGACATTTAATCCTAGTAAAAATTCCCTGTTTTAGGTCAGTTAGGATCACCACTTTATTTTACAAATGTGAAATGTCAGAATAATAGTAGAGGGAATGATTTATTTCAGCTTTAATTTATTTCATCACATTCCCAGTGGGTCAGAAGTTTACATACACTCAATTAGTATTTGGTAGCATTGCCTTTTTAAATTGTTTTAACTTGGGTCAAACGTTTTAGGTAGACTTCCACAAGCTTCCCACAATAAGTAGGGTGAATTTTGGCCACATCTCCTGACAGAGCTGGTGTAACTGAGTCAGGTTTGTAGGCCTCCTTGCTCGCACACGCCTTTTCAGTTCTGCCCACACATTTTCTATAGGATTGAGGTCAGGGCTTTGTGATGGCCACTCCAATACCTTGACTTTGTTGTCCATAAGCCATTTTGCCACAACTTTGGAAGTATGCTTGGGGTCATTGTCCATTTGGAAGACCCATTTGCGACCAAGCTTTAACTTCCTGACTGATGTTGCTTCAATATATCCACTTAATTTACCTTCCTCATGATGCCATCTATTTTGTGAAGTGCACCAGTCCCTCCTGCAGCAAAGCACCCACACAGCATGATGCTGCCACCCCCGTGCTTCACAGTTGGGATGGTGTTCTTCGGCTTGCGAGATACAACCTTTTTCCTCCAAACATAACGATGGTCATTATGGCCAAACAGTTATATTTTTGTTTCATCAGACCAGAGGACATTTCTCCAAAAAGTACGATCTTGTCCCCATGTGCAGTTGCAAACCGTAGTCTGGCTTTTTTATGGCGGTTTTGGAGCAGTGGCTTCTTCCTTGCTGAGCGGCCTTTCAGCTTATGTCGATATAGGACTCGTTTTACTGTGGATATAGATATTTTGTACCTGTTTCCTCCAGCATCTTCACAAGGTCCTTTGCTGTTGTTCTGGGATTGATTTGCACTTTTCGCACCAAAGTACGTTCATCTCTAGGAGGCAGAACACGTCTCCTTCCAGAGCAGTATGACGGCTGCGTGATCCCATGGTGTTTATACTTGCGTACTATTGTTTGTACAGATGGTACCTTCAGGCATTTGGAAATTGCTCCCAAGGATGAATCAGACTTGTGGAGGTCTACAATAGATTTTCTGAGGTCTTGGCTGATTTTTCTTTTTGATTTTCACATGTCAAGCTAAGAGGCACTGAGTTTGAAGTTAGGCCTTGAAATACATCCACAGGTACACCTCCAATTGACTCAAATGATGTCAATTAGCCTATCAGAAGCTTCTAAAGCCATGACATCATTTTTTGGAATTTTCCAAGCTGTTTAAAGGCACAGTCAACTTAGTGTATGTAAATGTCTGACCCACTGGAATTGTGATACAGTGAAATAATTGTCTGTGAAAAATTACTTGTCATGCACAAAGTAGATGTCCTAACCGACTTGCCAAAACTAGTTTGTAACAAGGTATTTGTGGAGTGGTTGAAAAACGAGTTTTAATGACTCCAACCCTAAGTGTATAAACTTCTGACTTCAACTGTACGCTGGAGTTCCTGAGTGGCCTAGTTTTTACTTAAATTGGCTTAAATCTATTGGTGTCTAGCGACGATCAACCAACTTGACCTGATTTTAAAAAAAAATAATGTGCAAATCAAGGGTTGACCGGTTCAGGGAACAGAACTGAAAACCTTAAAATAACTAAATTTGGTCAACAGAACCATGAACCGAAAGTGGTCTATACATTTCTGTAACAGAACCATTATTTTAAAAGCATTGTAACCGGTAAATAACAATTATTTTTACGTTTTCTGGAATTATTTTCCAGTCCCACAAATCAAAGCTCCTATGCAAAGCCCTCTCTGTCACTCAAACTTATTCAAGCATCTGCCTGCCAGCTGGAAATCTTTGCCAGTAGGTGTGTAGGCTAAGTTAGCGAGAGATGTTAAGGATACTATTGTTATCACGTTGGATTTATTAACTACGATAAGGTAAGACTATTTTAATTCTAGTGTCTTAGCTAGCTAAAGTTTGCTGTTATGGCAAAATACACATTTATCTTAATGACTTTCCTATACAGATTTAATCGCTTACCCGCTGCTCTATCCGCACTGATTGTTTAAATAATTTGATGGTGCGCTAAATGTCAAATAATATATTTGAGGTTTTAAAAAGGAACGATAAACCGGTACTGTATGTCCTCCTGACTACAGTGGCTGTAAAATAAAATGTGAAATATGTCAAGGGGTATGAATACTTTCTGAAGGCTCTGTATGTCCTGACTATTTGGGATAGGATAACATAATGTACCGGTACTTGGCTTTATGGATACAGATTTAAAAATGATACAACATTGACTACCTGACCCTCATTACGTTTCTTCTCACAGCCCCTCTCTCAGACCAGGCTACCGGTCTGAATCTAGAGAAAACAGCCAGGAGGTGAAGAGACTTAAAGAAAAAGCGATCGTGAGTACATCATTTTCTATCAAAGTGAAGTTGCCGATTTGTGCCTTTCAGGAATTGGGCCCAGTAGTAACCTCCTTAAGAGGTGTCTGCTCTTCATTGATGACAAGTCGGAATGGGACAGTCTGTCACTGGGTCACGGTCTGGGTACAGTTCCCCAGAGCAGCGTGTCCTCTTCAGTTGGCATTTGTCTGAAGGGTCAGAAAAGAGGGGTGGGGGGGGAGAGTGAGTATGTGTGCTTTTAAGCCAATCATGCCTTGAATGTGGGGTGCAGAATAAAAAATGTGAGCTGACTGTTGTCGCTCCCCCTCAGGAGGAGCGTAGGGTTGTTTACGTAGGGCGAATCCGGGGGACAATGACTCGCAAAGAGCTGAAGGGAACGCTTCTCTCTGTACGGAGAGATTGAGGAGTGCACTCTACACTTTAGAGACCATGGGTAAGTACTCTCAAACATGTTTTGTTTCAACAACGAGTAATTCCTGAAACCTGTCATGTTCAGTAGGCACGATATGGAAAACATTTTGAAACCAAAGTGTCTATTGAACAAGTCTGAGTCTTCCTGCCTCAATCACTGAACATTTGGTTTTACGCTTACTAAACATGACTTGAAAAGATTTTCTCCCAGACCAAGAGCTAACACCTAGGCTTTAGCTCAGTGGGCTTTACCCTGTCAGTTACATGAACCACCCCCCAGTGCACTGTCTTTGAACCTGGTTGACCCTTTGTGGTCTCTCAGGCCAAGCTACAGCTGCTACAGCAACAACCAGGCTTGTTTATAACTGGGGCCTCTTGGCTAAACCACCAGGTGGCTCTTTTAAGAACAACCCACACCTTCACACAATCTAGTAGTCATTGGTGTCACCAAACAGAAGAAAACCGACCAACAGGGCGGGACTACCTGGACTATAATTAACGCTCATTTTAGTGTTTGTTTTGATTAAAATGTTTTCCCATTGTGTGCCCTAATGAATCAATACAACACTGGTTGTTCCATCTCTGATAGGGATAATTATGGGTTTGTGACATACTACGATACGAAGGATGCGTTCACGGCCATCGAGAATGGCGGCAAGCTCCGTAAGCCTGATGAACTCCCCTTTGACCTTTGCTTCGGGGGAAGGAGACAGTTCTGCAAGGCCAGCTACGCTGATCTAGGTAGAATATGCCATTATTTGGGGGGGGTCGTCAACACTGCTACTAGTTGTCAGTATTCAGACAAAATTATCATTGATTTATTGTACTGGCAACTTTCTTGGTATACACCTACATCTGGTTGCAGTGATGCAAGGAGAGTTAACAGTGATACTAATGTTCATTCTCTCGCCCCCTCCAGATTCTAACCGTGAGTATGACCCGTCGCCCGCAAAGGGCAAGTTTGATGCACTTGACTTTGACACTTTACTGAAGCAGGCCCAGAAAGGTCTGAAGAGGTAACAGAGGTCAGCCCACTGGGGGCGCCACGCTAAGACTTACCTCAGAGCCGTCGGCAGGCTCCTTCCCACCTTCAACGCTGCCTTCGCCTTGACCTAGGGGTGGATCACAACGCATGGTCGAAACGTTAGCCAGCTAACATTGATAAACATACAGATGTAGCTCTCTTTTCTGGTTAATAAAAAAAGCTACAGTTTAAAGCCGCAATCTGAAAAATGATCAATAGTAGTAAAACGTTATATTTGGGGTTATGAGAGGGTAAGGCATTGTAAGAAGCTCATAGCACATTTAAATTATATTCAAATCAATGGCATCAATGTCATTAATTGAATCAATACATCAGAATATGTATCATTAATTGAAAATGGTTGGACGGCAGGAAGTCTTTATTTTTTATTTTTTATATGGGTTGTTTAAGTGTGAAATCATTTATGCCATGTTCATTTCAAGCCGGTCTATCTTTATGAACTCAAATGTTATTTTTGAAATGACAGCTGGCTAACGTATTATCCTGCATTGTGACATAGCTACCTGTCTTTATTTAGGTAGGTTTTTGTGTGTTTTTGTTTCTGCAAGCTTACACCTTCTATTGAAGTGAAGATTTGTATGAAAAGATTAAAAGCAAAAAAAAAAGATGAATGGAAACTTTTTAACAGGAAAGAATTTATTTAAATGTATAATCAGATTTTCCACAATGTATGGAAAAAAAATACATTTTAGAAATGGGGGGGAAATACTTTTAAATAAATATTCCCTGATTATTTGGGAGAAGGTGGAACTCCATTGCTGAAATGTACCGCAAACCTAAATAAACCAAAAATTAAAACTGGTTGACATTTTGATTTATTTGTCTTTTTGAGTATGTCACTGACCTTCAAGTCAATATTATTATGTCATTGAATTGACTTATCATTGTTTTTGAACAAATCAGGAGAACATGGCTCCAGTCTGTTTGTGGCTTTTCATTCATTCTTGCCAGAGACTGATTTCAGAGCTGGGAAACCAGGAGATACTCCGTTGGTTTAGCTCACCTGTCCTCACTCTTCTCCTCGCCTCATTTTGAAAAGGGTCCAAGGTAATCAAGGAGAGGAAACGAATGTGCTTGTATTTAATGACTCCTCCACTTGCATGTCATCAGGCAAACGGGTGTAAAGTGCTAAAAATACATTTAAATTAGTTGTGAAATACATTTTATAGATGAGGATGTGTAGTGTTGAGTCAATGTTGCTAATCATTGCTGTTAAACAAAGGAGTCCGCTTATACTGAACTTTGATCATAAGTTTTATTCATATCACAAGATTTCAGCATAAGTTTACGGCTGTCATGATCACCCGGAGAGCAGTGTCCTCCAAATTACAATGTCTGCTCTTCTTCGTTTAAACCCAGTACTTATAATTTTCCCAAGATATGGGTGGCTCCCTCTACTGTCAAATCCCCTGTCTACAACACACAGACTTCTCTGTCCTATGTGGCGTCACACTAAAACAATTCCCCCTGACACTAAATAAACATCCTCTCAGGTTCCACTTAAAAACATTAACAAAGTCATAATCTTAATACACTACAGTAGCATTTCGTTTTTAAACGTGTGAATGCTTTTCTCTGAGAAAACAACCCCAGATTCAAAGGGAGTGTGACCGATCTTAAAGGGTGACTGCACTTCTAGATTTGGTTCATTAACGCCTCATGTAACTGTCGCGTAGAGTAGGCCAGATGGCTAAACTGGAATATCCTTAACCTCTACCAAAAAAGTACTTATGTGCAAGGGTGTTTTATTTACATAGTGATTCCGAAAGAAAAAACAGTACTGCTGCCAAAAGTATACATTATGGGGACAGCTAAACAGTGCTGCCCCATCAAACAGCTCTTCTTCAGTGGGGTTTATCGGCGGTTGGCATCCAACGTTATTGTGCATTACCGTACTGGAGTGTGGGCCAGAGACGGGGATAAACTAAATCCTACCTGCCAACCCCGTTTCTCTTAAAAGATAAATATTTGAGACTATATCTAATGACGCTCTACTCTATATACTCTTTAAACTAATTTCCTGTATCCCTTCTCCCTCATACTAAATCTCATCCTCTCTCTTTCCCTCTGATACTGCCCACACTGTAGCAATACATGCTCCACAGTCTATTTCCTGACAATAATCACACTTTCCTGATGGATGCTTTCCTATCACGTTTAATGTCTTCTTCAACTGGCTGTGTCCCACCCTTAATCTTGTAAAAATAGCCTCTTCTGTCCCTTCCTGCCGTCCTCCCCTCCCCGACTTTCCTCTGTACTTGAAATAAAATCCATCAACAGCTCAATCAAAAAGCCCCCCCCCTTTGTAGGGGAAGCCCCTCCCATCAGAACATAAACGGATAAATTAATAAAGCCATTACAAACGTCAGCCTACATTTTCCCCTCAGCTTAACATATCATGAATTATCTTCATTTGACCTTTGCAATCGGTTTATCATAATGCCAATATAACACATTTACAGAATCCCATCACTACTGACATGGTGTCTTCCAATACGCATATCCACATGAACGGCCATTCGGGACAGGCACTACAAAGCCAGCCCAATTGCCCTAGCTCGGGTCTTTATTCCAGCATACCCGGAAGCTACAGAGACCGAGAGAGGAACAGAAACAAACAGAGCTCTCATCCAAAACATTGATAACTACAATAAATGTTACTTAAATTAAACATGAAAGCTTGTCTGCATGTTCCTTATACCATACCAAACTGTTACTGTTGGGAGGTAAGAATGTGTGTAATGTATGAACTGAGATCGCTAAGTTAACGTGTGTCGACCCACATTGCTAACATAGCTGAAAACGGAGCAGGGAGGGGAAAATGTGGGTGTGTTAACTTACCAAATGCTGCCAGTGACTGACTTCTCCGTCACATTACCTTCCTCCTCTCCCGAAGCGACCAGGTTCGGGAGCCGGGATAGGTAGTCCGCCATGACATTTTCTTTTTTTCCTGCCTTGTGATGGACACAGAACCGGAAGGGCTGTAGCGCCAGATACTACCTGGTCACGCGAGTATTCCGGTCCTTCATGGTCTGGATCCAGGTCAGGGCTCTGTGGTCCGTGTGTAGGTCAAATTCTCTCCCAAGAAGGTAGTACCGGTGGTTATCTAGTGCCCACTTTATAGCCAGGCACTCTTTCTCGATGGTCGAATACCTTGTTTCCCTGGGCAAGAGCATCTGACTCAGGTACAGCACGGGGAGCTCTGCTCCTGGCTCCCCTTTTTGTGTGTTAAGGTACCGCAGTGCCAGCTTGGCCGCCATAAGCCCATCGACTCACCCGATGGCGTCAATGCAGCTCTGAAGCATTGACGGTAGGTCTCTGGGGAGATGTCGAACTTCACCAGCAGCGCTTCTTTCAGGTCCTTGTAGACGTTGGACAACCCCTCATCCATTGCTGTGTAAGCCTCTAAGGCCTTGCCCGTGAGCAATGGGACAAGCCTGCAGACCCACTCTACCTCCGGCCATCGCCAGGTCTTGGCCATTCGCTCAAACCTCAGCAGGTAGTTTTCAATGTCCCCCCCCCCCCTGCTGGTATGAAGGCATCTTCTGCTCCTTCCTCAGGAATGCTGGAGGGTGGACGTTAGCGCTGCTGGACTTGTCTCCTGGTGCTGGGGTTGGCCTCCACTGCTTGGGGACCCTGCTGTGGAGTTGAAATCCCTGTTGCGTCGATCCTCCGTCGTCCTGGTGTTGGCAGACCAAATCTTGGGCTCTCACTGACGAGTTCCGCTTGGTGAGGAGCTGTGAGGATAGATTGTCGTAGGCCCCGGAATTCCTGCTTGAGGTCTTTGTCCCTGCTCTCAAGGCAGGTGAGAAGCTGCTGGAAAAGGGCTACCATGGTTGGGTGTGGTTCTGGTCCCCCAACTGCTCCTTCAGTCGGCTGCTCTTTTATGGCTGTATCTGGTGGTTTTATCGGCAGCTCGAGCGGTTGTGGTTCTGTTCGGCCCCTTGGTCGGGCTCCTAGTTTCTCATAATTGACCTCTTCTTCAATTTTAGGGACCTTTTCTGAAAGTTGATGATGCGGAGAACAGAACCCTGTATGTGGTCCTTTACGTCTCAATTAGGAATTCACTGATTTGTGGTGTGCCATCCCACCACTGCCACCATATGTCGCATAGAGTAGGCCAAAGCCCTTTTGTGGGGAAAAACTCATTCTGATTGGCTGGGCCTGGCTCCCCAGTGGGTGGGCCTATGCCCTCCCAGGCCCACCAATGGGGTTGTGAAATCCATAGATTAGGACCTAATGAATTTATTTCAATTGACTGATTTCCTTATATGAACTGTAACTCATTAAAATCGTTGCATGTTGTGTTTATATTTTTGTTCAGTATAGTAATGCTACATACTCCACGAAAGGTTAAAATCTCACCTTTCTGGTATTTTTTAAAATAAATTACTGAGTTGTTTACTGAGTTGAAAAAATATTTCCTATTCAACAACTATGAATAAGGCTTGAAATGACATTTTCTAAATGTAGTATATAAAATGACTAACAAGGATTTCACCTTAACTGTAAAATACATATTTGTATATTTAGTGTTAGAGAAAATTTGAATAATTCTAAAGTTCTCTCTTGGTCAAAACGTCTCGCTGTGAAGATGCTGCTGTACTGGAATGCCGCCGTTTTGCAAGCTCCGACCTAACTTTGCTTAGCAAGAAAGGCACTTCACTGTACTTGCATGTGACATTGAAACTTGAATATCTCACAGAGCTCTAGCCCTGAACTCGCCTTTCATCTCATATTAATCTTGTCCGTCTATCACAAACAGAAAGTGTTTTTGAATTATTTTAGATTACTGGCTATAAATCGATCTCAATGTGCTACAGCAACGAAACTACTCTCTCCTGCTGCGTTACGATATAAGGATTCCAGCCATATGCGTTGTCAGTGGCTGTGACGTAGGATTCAGCCAGGAGTTGATGGACAGTCGGAAGAGCGGTAGGAGGGATATCCCAGCTTCAAGTGGTGTCAGACATCTTGCTTCGTACAGGCAGAAGACAAATACTCCTGTGTCCTTGTGAATCAGGGCTACCGCTCAATGCAAGCCATTTCGATCTACGGTGTCCACAGATCGATTTTTAAGCAAAGATGTAGGTTGGAACCAGTACCAGAACCACACAGGTCCCCTAAACAGGGCACTTTACATCGAAGAGGTTAAGAAATGCTAGCGGCCATGACTGAATTCAAACGTGAGTTGGTTTCATGTGTGGTTTGATGTGGGTGTCTCGTGTGTTTGCAGGTGGGAAGAGTTAGCCAAATTATTTTGAGGATTCGCTTTAGCCAGCTGGTGTGCAAGTGTGGCAAAGTCTGTTTGACTTTGGATAGCCTATCTCCGGGGCTAGTTAGGGACTCTCAATAAATTACACAATGTAAA